CGAAAGACAACCCACACCTCTTTCGATCCAGGCCTCCAGAATTATACCTTTCTTGATTTACTGCCTGTTCCTTCGATTCCACCTTTGTTTTGACTATTTTATTTATTTATTTTAATCAATATAAAATCAATTAAAAAAAAAACCACAAAAACATTAGGCTAGTTTTTTCCATTAAATTAACTTTGTTAATTAATCATTTAATTATCTTAACATTTTCTCAAAAAACTAAAATTAACAAGATTTAGATCATTTTCCCAAAATAAAATAAAACAACAAAAAGATTTTATTCTTAGGATTTTTAGAGGTTATTTTCAGATTCGTGCGCGTTTATTTTATTGTAATTGCCTACTGGTTTGTGATAGTTTAACTAATACTTTTACACTTTACTGTTTTATTCCCCCAATTTTGGATATGTAAAAAATCCCTCTCCCCGAAGCCTTGTAATAGCGTAGGATTTACAATTTCCGCACTTTAAATTCATGTATATATATTAACTGTTTAGATGTATGCTAACTAGGATTGCATGACAAGATCTGAAAATAAACGGTAGAACACCTAAATATACAAAGATAATATAAACTGAAAATTAATACACTCGCACATGCCACTCTTAGGGTACACCTCACTTGGTTGCCTCAAACGTGGTCATTGAGTATAGGATGTTTTAGAGGTCGCCCTCTTGTCCAAAGATCATAAGTTGCCTCGAAACGGTTGCCTCGGATAAAATGATCTAAGACATTAGGGTTACCACTAAGGCGTCCTAACATTGCTTTAGTGACCACACGTCCCTTAAATCGAATTGACCCGAAAACTCCAATGATGATGCTACCTACTCCTCAGTAGTGGGATGGCATTGTCTAAAGGACACTTGCTCAGTCTAATTCCTTTTTGAGTAGGTAGAGGTTCTTAAGTACTTTCTCCTTTTAAAACAAAACAAAACTTTTTGCACTTACCCTCTCTTCAAAAACAAAACTCTTTTCAAAACCCACAAACACAAAGAAAAGCAAACTTTTGAAAACATAGTGAGCAAGTACCTAAGAGCCCGTGGATAACCACGGATAGAAAGGGTGCTAACACCTTCCCTTTATATAATCTACCTCCCGAACCCGAGAAACTTCTCGAAAAGGAATTTTTCTGTGCTTTTGTCCTTTCTTTATTGGATAAAATAAAAGACGGTGGCGACTCTTGCTTACCGCGACATTTTGCAAAAACAAACGCAAACGCGAACCAGCATTCCAAAACAGTCAGTTCTCATTCCCACCAATCACACATAGTTCAAAAGATCTCAAATGCATTGAATTGACATATGAATTTTCCAGTCAACTGATCAAAAATCAACTATACACTGAAAAGTCAAACTTTGACTTTTTGGTCAAAATCAAGTGCCAAGGGTCATAATTCATCAAGATAGGTCAAAATGTGAAACTTGTTGACCAAGAAACCTAATTTTGCAAATTAGGGTTTTAATTTGAAATTTTTCATAACTTGGAATTTTTCTAAGTTATGGAAATTTCTTATTTTTTCCCAACTTTCCAAAACTTTTTCACCATGATGCAATTGGATTCAAAGAAAAATTAAAACATGAAAGTTGTAGTCCCTCATGAAGTATACAACTTTGATTCACAAAGTTTTCCCAAAAGTTGCTTGGATCTCAAGTTATGATTTTGTGAATAAAGGTCCATAAACTTTTTAACTTAGTGAAATTTTGCCCTAGTTTAGGCAGATTTTTGACCTAACTTCATGGAAACTTTTCACCTAGTTCCAAGAGGAATCTCAAAATTCATTTCAAAGATGGATTTTATAGCATGTTATAAGCTTTCCAAAATGTCCAAGAACTCTCCAAGATCATTTATGGTTAGGGAGAATCGAAGAAATGAAAATGGCAATTTATCACTTTTGTGCAAGGCATTTTTCACAATGGTTCAAGTTGCAAATCAGTTTCAAACATGCTTGTACTTGGTTTTATAGGTCCTAATCCCTTATACACTCCATAATTAAATGCAAACACATTGGATAATGGTCTTGTTCTGATCTATGAAGCATTGCACATTGAATTAATCCAAAAATGGCATAAAGTTCACATTGCTACTTTGATAAAGCATGCTTTTTGCAACTTTGCAAATCTTGAGCCATGGACCTAATCTTTTGCTGCAAACAATATCCACAAATATCAGGCAACTTGTACCAACTATGTGCAGCTAGCAAGCAAGCCTGTACATGCTTTGGCATTGTCACTTCCAACTTTTCTTCAAAAGCAAGAAACTTGCAAAAGTCAAGGGATCTCATCCATCTGATAAAGGCAAGCCTCAGCTTCATTTAAAACAACCTCAGAACATTGTAACAAGCCTAATACACGAATTCATAACTTCTCAAACACCCTAAAACACAAAAATCCCATTTTTCTACCCAAACAAGGCATCTTCTGCAGAACCATTTCCAAAACAATATTGGCTCGTGCATTTTGCTTTGAAACACTTCAAACACATTCCCTACATCACACCTAAGCTATACAGGCCCTTGTCTTGCAACTGTGTGCCCTTTTTCAAGCTTCACCATTTTCATTTTAAAGGTTTGCAGGTTGACTCGTGCAGCAAGATTCAAGCATCTACAAGACAAGCCGAGCATTGGAAAAGGTTGAGGGGACTTCAAGGAAGCTCACAGGAACTTCAGGCCTCACTCAAAGTTCCCACATTGCCATATCCAAACTCAACTGAACAAGGTATTTGTCAAGTTTCTATCTCTCTATTTAGGCATCCTTAAGCTTAGATTTGTGAAGCAAAGATGTAGTCTTTAACATGCTTGAGCTGTACATATGCTTAGTTTCCATTTATATTAACTGAGCTAAGAGTATTTGAAGCCTGAAGTTCATGAAAATTTTAGGTCAGAAATTAGGGGTGATAAAATTCTCCTTGGTCTTTTAGAGTTAGATCATGTTCTTTATATCATTGGAATCGTGTGATCATGAGCTACATTTTTCATGTTACAAGTTTTTGATTTTATGCAAAGAATAGCAAGAACAGGTTGAAGAGGCAGAGCGCGCGCGTTTGTTCTGGCTGGAGGACAGGGACGACAGGTCTTGGGTCTGGCGCGCCTTGGGCCTGTTTGTCCTACTTTTTGCACCCCCTGTTTCCTTTTTGCACCCCCTTGGCCCATTTTTCATATTTTGCATATTTTTTATTTTCTTTTATATTTTTGACTTTATTATTTTTTTTCTGAACATTGAAAAATCCCAAAAAATATTTTCTTAATTTTTTGTATTTTATTTTATTATTTTATTATTTTTTTGGCATAAAAAATAGTTTATTATTAGTAATATACTTTATTTTCTTAAATAAACTTGTAAATAATATTAAAATACTTAAATATTTTATTTTATTATATTATACACATAAAATATTATTTTCTCACATATTTTAATTTTTAATATTTATACATAATATTATTATTATTTTTCTTAAACAAAAATGGATAAGAATATTAGAAAACATATATTTTTATTTTAAAATAAAAAATTAGGGTTTCCCCTTTCAAAAATAATAAAATTATTTTTTCTTGTTTTTTAGGACTTAAATAATTTATTTTCTCATGCATAAAACAATTACAAAACATTTTTTGCATATTTACATTTTATTGCCTATTTAAATAATTGTTTATTTATTTATTATACAATAAATTCAATTGGATTGTAATAGTAAATTAGGGTTTATTTTGAGCAAATATCCCCATTCAAAACTTGTATCCCCCTCCCCATAATATTGTTGTAATAGTTTAGATTTACTTTACGCAATTTATCGCATTATATGCATGTTTAGTAAAAACTAGGGTTTGTATGATAAGACAAAATCAAACAAATAGCATGACCTAATTCAAGACAAAGATGCATGAAAAATGACAACATATCTCACACAAGCACCCCTAGGGTTTCACCCACTTGGTTGCCTAAAGAAAATGGCCATGGTATGCATGCTAGGTATCTTGGCAAAACAAAGCAAAACAAAAGATCAAAGTCCCTCGATGATGCTATCTTGGTTGCCTAAAAACAAATGATCTTAGTCCCTCAAAACTTGCTAAGATACTTGGCAATATTGTTATCATGGTCATACAATAACCCACGCCCGTCCCGTTTAACATCCAAAGATAGGGTTGTCTACTAAAACAATAGTAGGTCAACAACATCAAAGGAATAAAAATGTGCAAGAAAGACTTTTGAGTAGGGTAGATAACTCCTAGTTACTTGATCAAACTTGAAAACCATCCTTGCTATTTTCAAACATACACAATTTCAAAACAATTTCCAAATAACTTTCAAAACATCAAAACATTTTTCAAAAGACAAAACATCTTTGTATACATTCTTACAAACAAGAATCATTACAAAGATTGCCAAAATGATGGCCTCTTTTCAAAATACTTTCAAAACCACACAAAGCACCATTTCAAACAATTGTAAAGCAAAAGCAAGTGATATAAAACAAGTAACTAAGAGCCCATGGAAAACCATGGATGAAAAGGGTGCTAGCACCTTACCTTTTCATAATCTACCCCCCGAATCCAAAAACAATCTCAAAGGTCTTTCCTGTGCTTTTTTACCTTTCCTTTTGGATAAAATAAAAGTCGGTGGCGACTCTTGCTAAACCGCAACATTTGCAAACACAAACGCAAAACCTCAAGTCAGTTCTCCCACCGCATCACACAATACATCTACGGAAATACGGGACACTCTTGAAATGATATATGGAGTTTCTCAAAGTATGGAACAAGAGAAGATGAACACATAAGGAGAAGAAGATAAATATACCAGTCATGGATGCTTTTCCAAATTTAGAAACACCAGGTGTATCAATACTTTGACTTTTTGTACCATTTTTACTTTGAACATTAAAATCTTTCTTTTGAAAATTCTCATCACTTGAATCTCCATGCAATATATTATCTATATGTGTATGAAAAACATGAGTATCTAAATTTTGTTCAACAATGGGTTTAGTAGGAGGATTAGCCTAAGGTTCGCCAGATGTTGGAACAGATGATTCGACATTTGGTTCAACATGTGAGTTAGCATGTGATTCAACATATGGTTCCTCAAAAGGTTCCTGAAAAGATTTTTCAGCATGATCAATAGTCTTCCCATTAGGATTGGACATAACTTCCTCATTATTAGTCGTAGATTATGTAGTATTGTGAACATGCACAAAAGATGCCTTTTCAGTGGTACTAACCTTTACAGATAATAACTTCTTCTTGGTGGCAATACTCTTTGTTCTTTTTGTTGAGATGTCAACAGGAAAAACCATTAGCAGAGGTTTGGGGTTCAAAAACATAATAGGTTCATCATCATTGTCGTTAAAATCATAAACCCAAATTTTATTTGATGTTTCTTTTTTCCTTATATCAACTCCAAGCATCTTGACCCCATATGAATCTGTAACAGCCCTGGGTTCAGCAGATTTAGCATCAATTGTCTTGGCTCATTTTGAAATTGGTTTGATGAAGGAGGACAGATGTGTTAGAACAATAGAGAGGGGGAGTTAGGTTACTCTTGCATGTGAGGAAATAGTGAATATGAGATAAATTTGATTTTTAAGATATTTCTCTTATTTTACGCGCTGCAGTGATCACAGGAGAGAGAAACTTTCTGTATATACTTCCATGCCTCCCTTGAATTAATTTACACAAGATTTAACACATGCAAATACCAATTACACCCCTTAGTAATCAATATGAACATTTTCTAAGGCCTTGGTACAAATATATCTTAGAAGCTTTACTTGCAGGTCAAGAAAGTATGTGAAACTTCCTACATGACTCATCTTAATTTCAGACTCCAAAAGTTGAACATAATGTTCCAAAATCTTGTTTGACATACCAAACCAAAAGTCATAAAGGAATTTTAATTTAGTATTCTTTTCACATAGGGTGTCATTTATTTCACCCAGACTTCTCACTTTTGTGAATTCCATGAGATTCATAAGATGTAACTTCATACCTTTAACAGAGTTAGGATGTTGGATCATCGTGTTGGACATCATGCCTATTTGGCCCACTCCACAAATTTTGCCTTCTTTAATGATGTGTTTTTGAAATACCTTGACAACACATTTAGATATGACCTCCTCCATGTTATTAACCTTGGATGAGGGTTAATAGATCCAAATATAACAGTTGTCATTGGATCTTGAACCCTTCATTAACACCTCTTGATCTTTGCTAGATACAATACACTTAGACTTGTTGATACTAATATTCAAACATTGATCACATAGTTTACTTATGTTGATCAAGTTTGCATTCAATCCTTTTACCAATAGCACATCGTCAAGATAAAAGAAACCTGAACTAACTAGTTTGCATATGACCTTTATTTTTCCTTTAGCTCCTTGATTCTTCCTCTAGCTCCTTGATTCTTCAAGATAACTCTTTTCACCAGTCATGTGTCTTGAACATCCATTATCAAAATACCAATCTTCTCTTGAGGTAACTCTAAGAGATGTATAGCTATAATATAAGTGAATGTTTCCTTAGGTTTCCACTCCTTCTTTGCTTTAGTTTTCTTTCCTTTAGACTTTGGCTAACTATAATATCGAGGATATCCATAAAATTTATAGAAAAAGAGTCTTATATAGCCATATCTTCCATAATGGTGACACCTCCAAGATGATCTCTTGTAGCCTTTATTGTGAGAGTACGCATGTTGAGCAGGACCCTGAGACATGTGGTCCTTCATCAGAGACTCGGTTTTCTTTTTAGGAGCAACAAAATTCTTAAAGGGGATTTTGAATTTCTTGTTCATGGATTGTAGTCAAACCCTACAACCTTCATATTTCGTGTCATAACATCCAACATATTTGAATCATTGTTCATTATACTTTCAAACTTTGTCAAATTCTAAAGTTTAGAATTCAACAAGGTTACTTCCTCTTCCATCCCAATAATGGTTGAAAGAAGTTTCTTTTTTTTCTTGAATAATGTCACTTATGGTTTTCTTCTGTTTTCTCATGTCAAGCAAGCTTCCTCCCATTTGCTATGTAAGATTCTAAAATTTTCAGCCAACTCCTCTTTAGTCATGTCTTTGTCACTAGACTCTCCTTCAGACTCATACTTCCCAATGAAAGCCATTACTTTGGTAATTGTTTTCCTTTCACTCTCATCATCAGAATCAGATCAAGTGATTGACGATTCTTTTTTTTTTTGTTTATTTAGAAAGGTAGGAAATTCGGCTTTGATGTGATCAAACCCTTCACGTTCATGACATTGAACTTGTTTGACTTGGTTAGGTTTGTCTTAATATTTTCTCTTGCTCTGGGAACTGATGTTTGACCCTTTGTCTCATAAATTTATTCTCATTGTCTGTCCAACCTTCTCAATAATTTTTTGAACTTTCTTCCAATAAGGACTATAGCATCGATATGCTTTCAGCTTGATCTTTATCCTTTTCAGTGTAGGATACAAAGGCAATGCTATTATTCTTATTATCAGATCTATCAATTATAGGAACCTCAAAGGTTTGCAAAGAACCATTGAGTTCATCAACCTTCAAGGTGCTTAAATCTTAAGCTTCTTCAATAGCATTAACCTTCATGTCAAACTTCTCAGGTAGATATCTTATCAATTTTATGACTAGTTTTTATTCATACATCTTCTCTCCTAATATAAATGAGGTGTTGACAATATCAAAAAGTCTGATGTTAAAATCAGAGATGAGTTCATCTTCTTTCATTCTCAAATTCTCAAATTATGTTTGTTGAAACACTTTTTATAGGGTAAGTATTTGCTTTATCATCTCTACATGGATTGATGTGATATTACCACTGTTCTACAATTGATAATGTTTTAAGTAAGGGTTTTAAAAAGGTTTTGGTAATGGAAAGTAACAATTGCATAAAAAGTAAGTAATAACGGTAGAAAAATTGAAGTTTTAACGGTTTAAAAAGCATGTCAAGATTATATTTCAATAACCTATTTTATGCATATTCTATTAATTGAGCATGTGGACTTGTTTATGATTATTATAATCATGTATCCTCTCAATATTGTTTATCTCTAAAGAGATATCGTGAGTATTATCGTATTAATTACTAGATGATGTCTCGTGCTAACAATAACCATAATAATCTTAGAGCTTGATACAAGTGAATATCAACTCACAAATATATGTCGAGCTTTTTCATTGATATATGAGTATCTTAGGTCAAGGTTTGAAAAATATCTTTCAATAGTGATTAAAATAAAAACTATAACAATAAAAGCAAAGATATTTGTGATCGGTGGATCTGGAACTGACTGTTTAACGCTGATTCGCGAAATATCGCGGAAGCAAGAGTCGCCACCGTCTTTTATTTTCTCCAAATGGAAAGGACAACAGCACATAAAAATTCCTTATAGAGATTGCTCTCGGTTCGGGAGGTAGATTATAGAAAGGGAAGGTGTTAGCACCCTTTCTATCCATGGTTATCCATGGGCTCTTAGATACTTGCTCACTTGTGTTTTCAAAATGGTTTGTTTGCTTTTCAATGTGGGTTTTAAAAAAGTTTCTTTGAAAATTCCAGTTCGACTCTTGTATCGGTCCTCAAGAGTGTTTGAAAAGTTGCTTTCGAAAGCTTTTTGAAAAGGTGTCGGTGTGAAAAGTATTTTTGAATTTGTTTTGAAATTAGAGCAAGTATCTAGAGTCGTCTACCTACCCTAAGGAATTCGTCTGTGTAAATGCCCTTTAAAGTAGTGCCATCCCACCATTGAGAGGTAGGTAGCACCACCATTGAAGGTGTTCGGGTCAATTCGAAAGTTCGGGACATGGTGATCACCAGAGAAATAGGAAGATACCTTAGAAGCTACCCTCATGCCAGGTTCCTGGATCATGAGGACTTACTAAGACATCCTCTACTCGACGATCACCTTTCGAGGCAAGGCAACAGTGAAGCGTACCCTAGGGGTGGTGTGTGATTTGTGTGTCATGTTCAGTTATTTTTGTCTTGTCCATGTCATGGGTGATCTATGCTTTTGTTTTTATTTTAGTCATTCATTCTTGCATGCAATTTATTAACAGTTTAAAAGTTGCGGAAAATTAAAAGTTCCTAAACTATTACAAAGGCGCGGGTCCACATCGCCAAATTAAATCCAGGACCCGATTTGACATAAAAATAAAGTAAAGTGCGAGAAATATAAATTTACACGGCTTTGGGAGAATTACATCAATATTTAAAAGAAGGAATAAAAATGCGCGAATTGAATTAAAATTGAAAGCGAGGGCGTTGGACCCTTTTTTAATAAAATCAAATTATATTATTAAATTAATGAAATTAAAATGAAAAAGAAATTATTTTTGAGGTTTTTTGTATTTATGGTTTTTTATTTGAATTAAATGAAATTAAAACCTAGTTCTAGCTATTTTTTAATTTATTAAGAAAATATGAAAATTACCTAAAGTTAAACCTAATTAATTAATGCAATTTGATTTATGAAAAATAAATAATTAATTATTAGTGTTGAGAAAATAAAAGAAAAAGGTAATTAAAATAATTAAAACCTAATTCTACAAATTTTTAATTTATTAAGAAAATATATTAAAATTAACCCTAGAATTGAAAACTAAATTAAATGATATTATTTATTTACAAAAATATTAATTAAATAAAATACATTTTGATTTTTTGTCTTTTCTGATTTTTTGTTTATTTTTATGTTTTATGAAAATAAATTAGTTTAAAAAAAAGAACAATTGAAACAAATAAAATAAAAAAGAAGAAAAGAATTACAAAACCTTGGGGGGTTCTGTCCCCAAATTGGAGGTCCAATTGTAGCAATCCTGGCCCAATAGATCCTGGCCCTTCTGACTTTTTCAGGAAGCGTGCAGGTGCGTTGACTCATGCCCATGATAGTCTCCAAATCATAGCCCTTTGATTGATCTCACTAAGTGCGTGGCACGCCTGGAGGAGAGACGTATGGTGAACGCTTGGACTGAAGCTGCACGTAAGTATTATTAGAAAAATAATATGGAATAGAGGAGGGGACCTGGGATTCGAACCCAGGTCCCAGGGATTACCATACTGATGCCTTGCCACTGGAGCTCCTAACGCGCTTTGTTTATTATATGGCCAATGAATAATATAAGATAAAACAAGCATTAGTGGCCTTTTTCCGCGCGCAATTTAAATACACCAATCGTGCCTTGCCACCTAATCTCCTTCTTTGTTATTGCATTTTTACCTGAAACATAAAAAGACTTAGCGGGGGTTTTAAATCCCCCCAAAATATGCCCTTTTCAAGAATAGCGATTAGGCCATCTTGCGTCATAAATTAGGCGCGACTATTGCATTCGATTCGTCCAAGTGTCCTGAGTTCAGTCATGGTATTGGGAAGTTCCAATTTTACAGTATTCAAGAATGCCCAATTTGGAGCTTGAAGAACCCTAGCTGGCTTTAATGGTGAAATCACGTACAATGCATAAAAACACAATCAAACTATGGGGTTAGCTTCAGAATCAATCAATTAGTATGAATCCATAAAAAAAATGCAATGAGAATGCTTGAATATTGAAATACGAATATGCATATAATGTGAAAAATCTTGAGTTTTGTATACCAATTCTGGGCGTTAGAGTTGGTGATTTTTATTCAAACACGTTCCTTGAAGCCTCAGGAACACAAAAGAATGGTTATTTGCCTTTGAATCGCACTGGAATGCTGTTTTCAGTTTTGAAAATTTTAGGCAAAAACTCAAACTTTTCTCTTGGTTTCTGGCGCAGCTCTGTGGTCATGAACACTAGGGTTTGCATGAGTATATATGTGTGAACGATTAGGGTTGAGTTTTTGGTCCAAAGAATCAAAGTATTGATGTAAAGAATATTGGATTTTCATGCATATAATTTTCAATCTTTTTCATGCATATTTGATTCAAATCATGTCCAATTAACTTGATTCTTTCCCTATATGATTATGCATGAAATCTTGAGACTATTTCATGCATAAAAAGATTTGATTGCATTGGTTTGGTATTTTTTCCATATTTTAATTAATTAAATGAATTTTTAGCAATTAAAAATTCAAATAAATAAATAAAAATGATGAAAAACTTCCCTTTGGTCCAAATGGTCGTGCAATGCTTTGGATGATGATTCTTGGAAGAAAATGTGGCCCATTAGCAATTTTAAGGCATTTGAAGCAAAGTTGACTTTTCAAAATACCCAAAAATTTCCCAACTTCCACAAGGCATATCTTGCTCAATTTTTAAGCTTTGCTCATGTTCTTGGACATTTTGGAAAGTTATTTCAGTCCTATAACCAATGCCTTTGGTCCCATGGCATTTTGATTTACCAATCTCAAATTATGGTCTTTGACTTAAAGTCCCTTTTTGTTGACTTTTGAAAATGACCTATAATGTTGAAATTGATAACTTTTTGTGAGAGCATTTCTTGGACTTGGAGTGTGAATAGGAGTTGTAGGAAATGCCTTTCTCTTCAAAATGAGCTTTGGATGGAATTTTTCTGATAATCCATGTGGAAGTTATGCCTTGGTCAAGTTACAATTGACTTTTTCAACTGTCCAAATATGGAAACTTTTGCATCTTGAGACTTTTTGAGCCAAGCTTTGATAATCATGATCAAGAATTGATCAAATGATGTTTGTGGCTTCAAAATGAGATGTTGACCAAAAATTTGAACTTTTGACTATCAAATGACCATTTTGCCCCTACAGTTGACTGTAGTGCAATTAGGGTTTTTGACTGTGCAATTTTGTGCTGTAAGCCTTGAAACTTGGTATGAGGATGCTTGACCATGTTTTCAGGCATGTGGGACTT